CGCGTGCATCGCCCGACCTACAAACACCATCTGCTGAAGGGGGTTCCCGGGGAGTATCTCACGCGTTTGCGATTACACACACACACACACACACACACACACACACACACACACACACACACACAGGCAGGATGGTGGTGAGGTGACCCAGGAGGAGGTGCCCCTAACTGTAGCAGGTGACCCGCGGGGTGACGACGCGCTGCCCGTCACACTCCCGTCGTCGTCGTGCACGTGCCCCGTCCCGGTGCAGCGGCCCGCCGCCGCGCGTCGGATTCCCAATTAAGTGTCGCCCACGTAAATCACGAGCTGAGCACGTCCGTAAGGCAATAGGGACCCTCCGGGCCCCGCGCGCCCGGGGACGGGCCGGCGACAGAAAGGTGTAAAGTATCATTTTCGGAAAATGTCTCCCGCCGGCTGCGGCCGGGTCCATCGCCATGCGTCATCTTCTACCACCCCTCCGCCCCGCTCGCTCCGTCTCCCTCCCTCCCTCTCTCTCTCTCTGCCGGCGGCCGCTCGGAGAGGTGCTACACCTCGTATTGTATTATTTCCCCCCAAAACCGGCCGGGAGACACCTACCACAGCTTTTCTATTCGTTTTTCATCTTCCCTATGCCGCCGCCGCCGCCGCCTCCGTGCTCGAGTTTTTAACGATTTTTATGGGCGGCAGCGCGTGCGTGCCGACATTGACTTATGCGTCCAATTCGTGCCTCCGTGTATAATGCAGTGCCAAGTCGTACGCGATGAGGCCACCAGGAGGAGCGGGGCGGATCCAGTGGCTCACCAAAGGGTACTTCACTAAAAATTCGAATGCACACCAATTTTTATTAATATTTTGATTTTATATAGTTTTTTTCTCTGTTTTCTTCTGATTTTGATTGGAGGGTGTCTTAACCTGATTTTATTTTTTTGGGGGGGGGAGGGGGGGCATGAAGCACCCCTTTAGGCCACCAAGGTTCTCTACTGCCTCCCACGCACCAACCGGCGGCATTGGTGGCGGCCTCACGGAAACCCTTCTCCACTCGCGGGGGCGCGGCCGGGGCCACGTCCTCGACGGCGCGGCCCTCCCGCTGCCCAGGCGCGCGGCCGGTGCAGAAGCCATCGGCAGCCTCCTCCATCGTCGTAAACGTCCCCGCGATGGGGAGGACTCGGTGCGCGCGAGATGCTGCGATACGGACCTAAAAGCCGTCGCATAACCAGAGGGGCCCCGGCGGGTGAGTCACAAAAAACAGCGGCGCGCGGCCACGTGCGAAAGCATTTGTTCCATCTGTTGATCTGTTGTTTGGTCCAGCGACGGCCCTCTGATCTCTCTGGCGGCGGCCCCGGGGGCAGGAGGAGGCGGCGGGGGCCACCGGCATGAGCGAGAGCGGACGAGTTTTACGGGCCGGCGACAAGGCACCAACGAGATCGAAATCGATATCCCACTGACAAATTGAATCCCCGCCCCGCTGCTTTCACGCCGCGCGGCGCGAGCTGGGCCCCTTGGCTGGGCCCCGCGGCCGGCCGGCAGCAGCTTCTCGCTTAGAGACTCCATAGATAGTATTTCGGTATTTTTACTGCCATTCGGGCGGCGTCCCTCAAAGCGCTCGTTCGAACCGACCGCGGGCCCGCGGCGCGGAGCGGCGATATGAGATCAACGAGTGCCGCGGCCGTGAGTCAGCGCCGCGGCCGAGGCACCTGAATCCGAAATCAGCCTAAAAGAGCAGCGAATGAAGCAGCACCAACGATTTACAATGCAGCTGGCACGATATTGAGAACCGGGAGTGGACATTGCCAGAGAAGTAGGTTAAGGCTTGTAACCGCCTCCGACAGAACGTCAATTAGAAGGATCGTGGCGCTCGCGGCCGGGGGGTGCCCGTCAGCTGATCCGCGGGCCCCACCGCTTGGACACGCAGCGCGCACGACAGCGCATAGCGCGCAGGCCCAAACGAAACGCGTGGCACCGATCTAGAATACTGAGGGAATAAGGACTTTGTCGGCGCCATCCGGTATTCCGAGCGCGCGCGCCCGACCGGCCCTCCCCCGCCGCGCCGCGCGACCCCCGCGGGGGAGACGCAACCACCGCGCTGCCCGGCGCTGCACGGACCGGACTGGACTAACCGCGAGTTCGAGCAGCAGTAGTCGAGAGGCGGGTCCCATTCGATGTTTCCCCCTCATCTTCATAATTCACTTTTAAGTTATGATACCTGCCACTGGCCTTATCCTCGTTGTGTGCTCATGTATTTTCGGACCGAGCGAAAGCAGGGCGATTTTGCGAATCCTTGCGGCCGCCGCGCATAAATTGCACGAGCGCAGACGGCCGAGTAATCAGCAAAATGCCATAATAATAATTACCCACAGGTTGGGGCGGAACCAGGTCACAAAAATTCAAATACCATCTGTAATTATTTTCAATTCTTTGTTGTTGTTTTTTTCCGGCCGCCGTATGCTGCCGCTGCCGCTTGGGATTAGCTCGTCGCCGAGGACGTTCCAATCGGATCGCACTCATCAGCGACATCCGAAACCCCGAGCGTGCCGGGTAGGGTTCCCGCCAGGCGGCGAGGCTCCCTGCCGGGCGCCTACAATCCATAAACCACCTTATTCGCCCCGGCGATATTCGCACGCACAGTCGCAAACACAGCTGGGACCGGACCCACCCGGGGCCGAGTGACATCTTACTCATTGCTCCGCGCGACATCAAGATGGGCGCCCCGGTGAGGTATGGAAGAGGGGGTGAAAAATCCCCCCCCCCCTCCCCACGAGGGCTATCAAAATCTATCACGGTATTATTTGCGGGCGGATGTCGCAGGCTTGCCGACCGTCACTCGTGGTGGTGGCCTACCATTCCAAGCGACCTCTAATGCGCGAGATTGCAAAACAGAAAATAAATGTACACTCTACAAAAATACATCAGAAAACTCAGACAAAATACAGAAAAAATCAAGATGAAATTAGAAAAATAAGGTTGTAAAGTATCATCTGCTGAAAAAGCGCGCACGGCGGGCTGGGCAACTTCTGTTGGCCTACTGGAATAGAGCTAGCAGCTGCGCTCAGCCGCCCACCGCACGACAAGACCACGAGCTGCAACAACATTTTGGCGCGCCAAATGACCGGCACTATGACGCGTTCTGCTCGTGTGTTTACTACTTCTGACGGGCGGATCACGGCGTCTGATAGCGACAGAGCTCCACTGCGTGGGCAAAGTGCACACTGCACACGAGAGAGAGAGAGAGAGAGAGAGAGAGAGAGAGAGAGAGAGAGAGAGAGAGAGA